CTTGTTTAAATAGTGTTGGCGAAATTAACTGCTTAGCTATCAGAATTTATCGACATAGAGAATGAATGCTTCAGTTAACATTACTTCCACTACTTTGTAGATACTATCTCACCCGATGATGCTTGTGGATACCTCAATGCTCAGGTGGAGGTCTTCAAGCATCCTGGGACAGGAGAATACAAAGTTATCGTCAAAGGCAAGGGATCGTCTCACCATTAACGCCATTACGCATTCTTGTCCAACCAGCAAGCTTTTCATTGCACCGAGATTGTTGCAGTGTGATAATTGAGAGCAGAAATGCCGAAGATATGAGAATAAGAATGATTGAGCTCCTTATGGATTGGAGGGTGGCGGATGGCATAATGATGCTTGAACGAAGATTCATGCACGACTAGATTGATTTAATAGAGCCTGCGAGAATAACTGGTGAAAAGTCAGCCCAGTTACTGAGTCAACAAATTTTAACGCGGTTTCGCGATGGTTATCTAATCGACAAAAGCTTGATTAATTAAGGACTGTACAGATGCTGGATGGTGAATGGATGCGAGCGCGTGAGAGAATGGATGAGCACATATGCAAGTAGAGATGCATAAATACATATGGAAATGATTTTGTACCTTTGCACAGTCATCTCGGCTTCTGACCTTGGTGGAGTGATGGTCTCTGGGCTCTTCCGTCCCTTCGTCGAAGTCTACCTCTTTGGACCACTTTTAGCAGACCGCAAGCGCCGTTTTACTACGAAATCCAAATCGGGCACAATTTCACCGCTTTTCAACGAAACTTTTGTCTAGTAGGTTTGGCCTTGCCCTTTTTCTTTTCGATTTTCTCCCTTCTATCCAGCACAGGCGTTCACTATCTGCTCGTTTAAACAGCCTCTTAGCAAGGATTGAAGTACCCTATCCTGATTATCCAGAAGGGACCAACTGGTGTAGTGGTTTTACTAAGTTGTAGCTTTTGAAAGAAAAGTGGGCGAAGGGACTAGAGAAGAATGCCCTTAAATATTTTATCCTCAGATAAGAAAGTGTCTCACCGACGGTGTGATTATAGCTATCTTTCAAGCCGCAGCGATCCAGAGTGGTATGAGTTGCAGTTCGTGGTGAAGGACTATTGCTTTGGTCGCAGTGATCGCCTTGTGGCGAGCAGTCTATTGACACTCTCGCAGGCGCTTGATCTGGGTGGATCAGCCCCGGTACGACTGCCACTAACACGAAGACAGGCGCAGTCGGAGGCAGGCTGGACGGTGCTTCGCATTCTCTCGCAACGACTTGCCACTGACGAAGTTGCTCGAGAGTTTGTTCGCGTCAAGACGGAATGTTGTTCTGCGGCCGGAACCACCGCCGTCGCTCAGGCAGAGTAAATGGCCAATTTTGATATTTATCCTTTCATTCTTCTTCTCCTCACCACCCTTATCCTTTCCCCCTCCTACGTGGCCAAATCCCAATCCACATTGGAGACAGAGGTGTACGCTGTGTATTATGCATTCCACAGATCTTATGTATGATTTCAATCTGGCAATGTACATTCAGTCCACTTTGGGGCTAAGGGTAGTGCTATAAACATTGTCGGCATTTGTTATAAATTGAGTTGTCAACTTTTATTAATTAGGATGTGTGTGTATTTTGGTTCCTGCTAAGTGAGCCGTCAGTTCGCCAAACTATTGTATTGGCTCGTCTGACAGATTTTATTTGGCGCAGAGATAGGACCTCGGAAGGCTGTCGCTGAGGTTTAGTCGCTCAGTTCGATGTAACCATGATCTTGGTGCGACTAATAGTTCACCCTAAAGGACATTTAGGTAAGCATCAGTGAGAATTCAGCTTCTCAGATGTTTGGGAAATTGTACATGAACACATGACTGCGGCTGTAGGCAACATTATTGTCCTAAAATTGGGGAAAAACTAATGGATGAAAGAATTTTTGGGCAGAAGTCACCAATCATTATTTTACAGTATATCTTTCAACAGTTAGTTAAACTGACAACTAACGTTTTGCTAAACCTGACTCCTCTTCCCCACTTGGTTTAAAAGGTGTCTTCTTCATAATTCACTTGCACTGAGTCACCCACGGACTGAGGATTAAGAAGAGTCAAACTTTTGAAGTCATTGTGCCAACAGTCATTGCATATTACGGCCATTCCAATGGAACTAGAAGCCAACGTGGGGAACGCAGGCGGCAGAGCCTAGTTTTAAAGAATTATCTTTAAGGTTGGAACAAATGTGGATCATTAAAGGAATAAGATGTTTAAGTTTACGAAACTCCTTCGCGGGTTCTGGTACATATTAAATAAAAGGAAAAGTAACTGTCCAGGTCTTCCAACAACCTCTGCTGTTAGAATCGAGACGCTTGCTGCAGAAAGTGGTTCTGCGAACGCTTACGATTGGGATTAAGGCTTAAACGGAAATGTTTGGTTAACTAGAAGGTGTAAGAGCAAAAGTTCGACATGTTTTCGCAGGTAAGGGATGCGCCGAAGCCTGCTGCTTAAGTTGGAGAAGACGTAGCTGACAGGGCATATCTCCACGCGGTCGTGGCGCCAAACTAACTATGAGCAGAAGTGTCAATCCTGCACAAGCCAAGACATGTATGAATGGTCCTGACAAAATTACAGGATGTCAGCAAAAACCATCCTACGCAATGACAAGAAAAGGTTCCCTTGAATCTGAGTGGAGTTTTAGTGGCCTATCAGGGAGACAGAAAACTTGACTCTAATGCTTCAAAGGGTATTGAATGCATTACCAAAAGTTCTGGTGAACTACATTTGTCCCGAATTTCAAAAAGCCTGTTCATCAAATGACTACTAAGAATCTTTTATAATTACCTCGGTGGTATGAGATCTTTTGCATCACTCCAACTGTTTTATTCGATAACTTCCATATGCAAAATGTTGGCGATTCAGTTTTATGTAGATCGCATCCATACTTAAGAAAAGGAATTAAAAAACATACAGGTTAAATTTTCCACTTTCGGTCCCTATGATATAGACTGTCTATCATAGCAATGTCGTAATACTAGTAGGAAACATTATTCATTTGCAACTCTGAATTTTCTCTAGAATGGACGAAAATCAATCGATCAGATTGTGGTACACACCACAACCGCACCACACACAGTCCTGTACCTTGGATGTGTTACTAAACGCACCACTTAATTGAGTTGACAGTCCTCACACAAATTGGATGAAGTCGAGATATACCGTAAGGTTTTATCAGTGAAATAAACATTTGAGAAATTCAATTTTTATCAGACATTGTTGTTACTAATAGTCATAAGTAACACAAGTGTATGCCTACGGTGACAAGAAATGTCAAAATTGAGTTCATTCAGAAACAGAAGGATCTGTGACAACTTTTTGCATTATTCAAGTCTATGTCAATGAAAGATGCCGCCCTTAGAGATGTTTCCATTAGGACTGAAGCGTTCATTTTCGTCTCCTATTAGTAGAGAATTTGTAAAATAACGCGCCTCAATATTTATTATTTTGTATTCGGTCAGCATTAAGTCACTGCAATCCATGTTGAATGAGAATGGAAGCATAATCCTCATCATCAGTGCGTTGGTACGCTGCGGTAGGTACTATGTGAATTCAGAGACGGCATTGAAGACTTCCTTCAACACGACATTAAAAATTGTATATATTTTAATGAGGCAATGAGAAAAAAACGGTTCAATTAAACGTTGGTACCTTTGTTGCAACGTTTGAAGACAGTGAAGTGCCAAAAGACTTCTGAAATTCTGCATAAGTTTTATTACGGATGGCTCAAATTAGGGTTAGGGTTAGGGTTAGGGTAGGGTTAGGGTTAGGGTTAGGGTTAAGGGTTAGGGTT